TTTACTCAACCGGGTACCTGAAATTTATTCGGCTCGGGTCGGTTAACCGATTATAGCCCAACCGGTTCAAATCTCTAGTTACGATTGCTTGAGATATCTTAAAGCATACCGTAAATGTGTACAAGATTGGCGACGAAGACTAAATTCTTTAAAATTCGTTAAGGTTAGGATTAGGGTCAAAGTTAGGATCTAGAGAGAGATAGTTTGTATAGTTAAATTGTTCAACGAAAACTTTTTGTTAGAACACAAAAGGTGGTTTCTCATGCTGATTTTTGAGCTATGTGCAATTTTGGCGTGTTACGTTACACCTAATCTTGAAATCTGATTCGTAGTTCAGGAGATCTGCGCCACCAAGGTATGTCGCTGCGGATTTAATTTTATCGTGTATTCGATTTCAACCGTGACGAAGAGTTAACTGATTCTTGAAAATGTGAGTATTTATAGGACCAAAAGCGATAAATACATATTGAATAATGACGGTCTAATTTAACTATCTAGAGTAAATTGACTCGAATTAACGTACTGCATAAACGTAAAATAAAATATAGACACTTTAATAATTTTTGTCTAACTATTTGGGAATTTTCACTAGATACTAGTAGTCCGTTAATGTTGCTAAAAAAGTATGCAAGCTTTTATTTACATTGTTTAATTCTAATTATAGCCGATAAATATTCCTTTTTTTTTCCTTTCATATTTTTAAAAGAGTTGCATTGCTTATTGCATTTACATTTAATTTTCTGATAAAAAACGCAATTATGAATCTGAAAAACAAAATAAGGTAAATTATTTTCTGAAATCAAACTTGTAAATCTCATCGAATTACATTCAATATCCTGGTAATTTTGAAAGTTGAATTTACTAAATTTTTTACATTCTTTATATAAATCATTTTTCACCTCTAAATCTTGATCATCACACGAAGCAGCTGGTACGTAAAAGGTATTAATATTGATTCTTTCTGGAAGTCTGCAAGACTCTGATGCTTTTAAACTACATCCAAAAACATGCATGTTAAAGTTACCGTCATTGTTAGATTTGTAAAAATGATGCCCAACTACCAAATTGGTTTTGATATTACTATCACAAGTTTCAGGAATTCCTACTGGAAATCCTTTTACATCGTATAGAGATCTGTGGACTGGCTGTGAAATTTCCTGCACAATCTCAACTCTAGAAGTTTCTAATTTTATTTTATCCAAACTATTGATGAGATGTTCTATACTCCGACAATAACCAACTACGATTAAGCCTACTTTTAAACCACATTGCTCACGAACCCCATAAATACGGTGAATTATTAACATTGGATTTTTATCTGGAGCAGAACGATTAAGTCGAATAGTAAAATTATTTTCATCGTTTATGTTGATTAATGTTGGAAATACTTTGAAATCCTTTAAGTTAAGTTTACTAAAAGATGACTTTATTTTTTCCTTTGGTATCTTCGCCATTTCAAAGCAAACTTCATAATCATTACGGCTAAATTTTATCTCTTGTCCTATATTTGTGTACAAAATCACCGTTCCCCTGGCTTCGACCAACATTTCTTGGTATCCGTCATTCAATAATTCAAATATACCTTTAATATCACCATATCCACATGGTTCACATGATTTAAAATCGTTACCGCCATAACTTTCAAAAAATTCAACTTGTTTATTTTTCTCGTTTCCATATTTGCTGCTGATCCTATCCTGGTAGTTAGTTTCTAATCCAACCCCATTAGTACCGGCAAATAAGTTTACATCTATACCTTTAGTTGTGTCAATTGAATTTTTATCTTTAGAAATTTTAGACTTAAAATATTCACCACTTCCAAGACGAACTTTCATTGGCATAATGCGACCGAAATTGTCCATAATTTCTTCAAGTTTATCACAGTCCTTTGAGGTGATGAAGTCATCTAACGCATTCTTGAATTTTGATGACATTTCATAATCACTGATTTCAATCTCAGCTATGCTGGTCTCACGATAAATTAGTTTTAAGGAATCTTCGGTATAACTTTCGCCAGATTTTGCTGTTTCATATTTTATTCCAAATTTGGCAAAATTTTCAAAATTTCCGCCTAAACCAAAAACCAAGCTTTTTGTTGTATTTAAATTTGAGTTTTTTGAATGGGTAACTTCATTATGGAGTACAGATGTCTTATGCTTCAATACACTTTTTTTAACCGTAAAAGCTTGCTCTTTAGCTCGCACAAATTCTCCACCTATAAAGTTGTATCCGTAATTCAAATTAAATTTTTTTACGAATTTTTCCAACTCTGACGCTTCTAAAATGAATTCATTCTCTCCTATTTGATCTGAGAATGATGAGATTTCTGTGCTTTCTGGTAAAGAATAATTGAAATATTTGGATAAGAAAATCATTTATTTTTTTTTTTGGCAAGAACCCTTTTTCAGATTATTTATGTACGTACGTACGTATGTATGTATATACGTAACGTGATACTAATTACACAACATACAGTATATCGGTATATTATTACTATAACGCAACAATTGAAAGGGTTTTCATCCGATAAAATGTCAGAACAGAATCAAGAATTAATTAAAGAACTAATTCAAGGATGGAATTTAAACCGTGGACTAATTGTATTCAACGATAGTTTTATTCCGAGTAAAAAACCATTTCTTGATGGTAGAATTGATTTTAAACCAAGTTTCGAGGAACCATTAGTGTTCGTCAGTAAAAAATGTCAAGAAACTACTGATGTTGGAGATTCTCCTTGGGAACAATTGAAAACATCTTACCCTATATATTCAATATTATGCGATGATGGAAGTCCGGAAACTCTCTTTTATCCTCATGAAGATGACATAAGCATCTTGTTTCCAATTGCCGAAATAACATATGATGTAGACCCATCTTTATATACCTTATTGTATTTAATTGTTCTTTTGCGGTTGAGATTATTAAAGCTTTTTTTGTTGAGCTTTTCACGCTA